GGCGCAAGAACTTCGGCGGCTCCCCAAAAGCCAGCCAGTATGCGGTATCGGTCGAGCAAAGCCTGGCTGTTAAGCAGGGACCGGATGCTGTCTGGTAGTCCGGTACCAGATGTTGAAATCACGGCTCATGCTTGGAACCTACGAGGGATTCAATCACCCTCACTCACAAGCGCCTTCACAAAATGAGCCTGCGCCCTATTCACCAAGCTACTCTTCGTATGAATATCAATTACATGACAAATCGTTCAAGTCTTCAAGTCAATTTCAATCCCGTAATTAGGTCTACTTCAACCTAGTTCGAGTCGTGCATCACCCTTAGATACGTGGATATCATAATTGAGCGGCCTAGCTTCAATTACTTCAATCAACTATCATCGAACGGTCCACACAAATTCGTTATTAATATCTTGCACACATGTCATGTACGCGGATTTTGCTAGCCTGAACTCCGCGTAGTCAGCGTACAGGCACCGCGGTAGGTCACTGCGGTATCTGTACGATAATCACCGTACGGAACTTCAAAATCTGGAGTTGGATCGCGGTCGTACCACGGTGCTAGTACAGTGGGACCATACTGGCACTGTGCTGGCTGTACGTATAGATTTAGGGTTCCGCACAGGGAATTGAGAGACTGCAAGCAAACGTGGTTTCCAAGCCCTGAAATTGTTCTCAATGAACCCAACCATGGCTGCGATAGGGGCCATGCGTCCATCCATGAGGGTCTTCCAAAAGCTGCAACCAGCCTCTAAAGACATTCTTTATTGCATTGGAACTTTCCTTTGAGCCCAAGAAAATCGTTTATAATGCTTCATAAAGGATGTGAATCTAGGGTCCCATCAAGAGGTTTGCCCCTCTCCCTTATCTTGTGCTAGGAGTTGCAGGGAGCCCACCCCTCAGGTGCTCAATAGATATTCTGAGCTCAATTCAGGTGTGTCCAGCTCAGCGGAAGGGGAGCGGAAGCTCAGCTCATTCAAATGGCCTGACAAGTTCCAGACTTCTCAGCAACCAAGTTCAACCTGCGGAGTCCCAGACTGTGGGGTAAGTTCGTGGAGCATCCACATCAGGCGCAGATCCGCAAAACCCGAAAGGAAATGGTCGGTTGTCAGGCTTTCGGCGAGGCGAGTCAGATTCAAAAATGCGTTGATTACAGATTTGAAATTGTATCGTCTGGTCGTGTACGTATCGGTAGGTGCCGTACTACGGTATACATAGTACAACACTGTACAAGTAGATGTACCTGGTAAACCTAGGTTCCGGTACCCAAACCACCGCAGCTCAATCACAGCCCAACACTTCTGCCCATGTCAGAACTGACCGGTACTCAAGATTCTAGCTAGGTACATGAGTACTGTATGACCCAACTCAAGTACCGTACTTCTAAAAAGTGTCGAAGGTTGGGCTGAGGTAGGTCCCACCGTGGCCTCGTACAGCCCGGTTGTACACTGATAATTAGATACCGGGCGCGATTGAGCGTAAGCTCAAGGGTATAGGGATGCCCGGACAGATGGTAAAAAGCTCCGGGGAGCCATCTGCAACGAGCCACATATCTTCCACAAAATCCCCGGTTTTTACAGAACTGCATGTCAAAATCGTGTAGCAATTGAGTACCATCGCCGTTTCTTCCTGCTGGTATAGCGGAGCCCAAATTCGTTTCAAGTGTACCATAGTAACGACAAGCTAAAATTTTCGACAGTGCGTATCGTTCGTGGTGCTACCTTGTACGCACCACGGTCGCACTAGGGTACCGACGAGGTACCACCACGATGCATGAATCCCGATACATGACACTCAACTCCGCGGTCCAGAATCCCGATACATGACATGTGCATGCACCTTTCTCGGGTTCTTAATCTCCCAAGTTCCTCCAAATCGTTCCGGTCTCAATTCGCTAACTACTTGGGCTTTTTTATTTCAATCTACCAAGCATACGATCTCTTTCATCTTCTTCTATCAAGCACTCAACTTCTTTCATCTTACACTGCCACGCACTCAGTTTCTTTTATCTTAATCCATCAAGCACTTAATCCTTTTCATCTTAATCTGCCAAGACATTCATGTCTTTGATCATTATCTTACAAGTGCCAATGTTCCTTGCTCCTAATTCTGGCAATTTGGCCGTCAATCAATGTTAACTTTCGGAGTGTACGGCAGGTTCCTTCGGTCACGGATGCGTCAACGTCGACCATGCTTCAGCTGCAAAAGGCCGCATTATAAGGACAAGGGGAAAGCGAGCAACAATTTTTCTTGTAGTTATGATCGACTCGACAAGAAACGATGGATCTTAAGGCGAGCACGCGTGCCGGTTCGGTCAAGTTGCACATTTTCGCATAGCCGGATGTCAATACTAGTCGCAAAAATGCGATTGGAATCCGGACGCCCATTCTATGTTGGAATGTTGGAATTAACCACCATCACGCACAAGCGCCTGAAAAATGAGCGCCCTGACTCTCATCGAGCATCTCTTCAAGTTATACAATCGAAATGAATATGTCCACCGCAAATTCCCCGCGGTTTCCGACCCTGCTTACTAACCACGGCCCATATGAGGTCCATCTAGCACATTCCCGTTGACTAGGATTGTCCTTATTGACGGCATTAGCCTCAGCGCTTGCGCACGTTCGGTCATGCGCGCTCCCAAAGGCACAACTCCCAGTCTTGCACGAACGACTTTAGCCCAAAGCCATGCCGGACAGATCGCCGCCTTGCGTCCTATTAATGAAATACAGCGTTGTTGGAAGTGATATTCAATCAATCAAATTCACACAATGTTATGGAGTGTTCCGAGTCACGGCGTATTTCTAGGTCTACACTCTTACCTAGTAGGCTCAGTGGACCCGTCACCAAGAAGGTCCGAAAATTTCACGCTATACAGTACATCGACGGCCATTATCGAACCTACACAATATCGACGGTTATCGCCAAGTCATTCGGGTGTGACGCTATACCCGCGCGCATTCTACTGTGAAACTGTAAGTACTAGTTTGTGTCGAATTTGCGCCGACGTCGTCATCCTAAAACCCTAGAGTCACCCGGAGATTCGGTCCCTAAATGCCCGTATCTCAACACTCCCCCACACACTAGTGACTATGCGACT